ATACTCTCTAACATGACGCGACTATCAATAAAATTGGCATATTGTCAAGATCGCAAACCTCACCCCCATCCTCTTAATGTGTTCTTAAGAGGGAATTGATCCTACACTCCAAATGTCCTAACACTTTATTCCTAATCAAAATTAGCCACGAAAATCTAAAATAGACAAATAAAATCATTTTTTGATAGCTCTTTAAATTTAATACTAAAAACACTCCCTCTAAAATAAAAGTTGATCTCCATTATAAGTACCTATTAAAGAATATATTCAAAACTTTCAAAAACTCTAATGATGTTTTGTCCTTTATAAGTTAGTGTATATAGAGAATAAGTTCATGGAACACTCAAGAAAGGCTAGGGGCCATGTTTATTTCAATTTTGACGATACTATACGCCAACGTTGCTTTCCACTTGGATTCTGTTTAACAATACTAATTAATAATCACTTGGATAGTACTCAAATTACCTTCTAAGCATCAAGGCATCCTATTCATCAATCCCACTTAATTAGTATAAGAGAGAAATACTTAAACCCTCTATATATATACCCTACCAGACCCATGTCTTTGTACTACTCCCCCATCTCTCTATATCCTACTAACTACTGCATTTTCTTCCTCACTACCTTCTCAACAAAAATGTCAAGTGTTTGCCAGTTCAAAGGGGGTGTCATTCGTTGTGTCCCGGATCCGGGAGCTGAGTCCAGTTCCTGCCGGAAGGTGCTGGTACACGTTCCTAGTAATGAAGTTATCACCTCCTATGCTGTTCTTGAAAGCAAGCTGTCGTCTCTTGGTTGGGAGAGGTTCTATGATGACCCTGACCTCGTTCAGTTCCACAAACGTTCTACTGTCCATTTGATCTCCCTCCCCAACGATTTTAGCAAGCTCAAGGCCATGCACATGTACGACATCCTGGTAAAAAATCGAAACATGTTCGAAGTTAGGGACATAACTTCTAACCTGAAGTAAGGATAAGTACTATGAGTGTGCGTGCCCGCGGGCGTGTTCTATCTCGTTTACTGTTTGGATTGGAGTTTAAATAAACGGGTCTTATTTACTAGTTTGGTGATTTTGGTATACATAAATATATGGGTTTCGTATTTTAAGCGGAGATGTGGTTGGAGTAGAATATGAGTCTTAGTTATATAGGAAGCCAATGTACTTGACCGTATGGGGTCATGCTTCTGTACGTAAATTGTATCAGTGATTGTGAAATGGAAATCTGGTTTTTCGTTCTTTTATTTTATTTTATTAGGGGTAAATGTGCTCTTGAATCAATTTGTGTATAGTTCAAAACTAATTTTTGTCCAATTTAGTTAAAACTAAGCTATTCAAACTAAATTAAGAAATTCACAAGAAATTATATTTTTATTGATCTCTTAAAGAACTTTTCTTTCTTTATTGTAAATTTTTTTTTTTTTTTGACATTGATAGATCAAGATGTTCTCAAATCAACTTTTAAGTGTCTTGAAATTAATCTCTCTTTGAACAATCTTAAATATGTACTCTCACATCATCTTGATTCATATAAAAAAATTAATTTTTTAAGCATTAATCTCAAGATTTAAAGCATATACTTAATCTATGTGATGATTTTTACTTATCATTAGATCTAATTCTTGAGGTTTCTCTTTGTTGTGGTTAATAAACCCATTTTCCTTGGACTAGTGTTCTGACACCGCTGCCATGCAAGATGATGACGTAGAGAGTGCTACGAGATGTGATTAATTTTACTTATAGTTTATGGTATGTACGTAATTACTCGGAGATCCAAGAGAGAAAGGTGTTAATGTGCACGATTTCGACCTCTTTCCTTGTATATATGGTTAAGAGAGGTATTTCAATCCTTACAATGATCAACAAGAAATGATAACACTTCGAGCAGTTGTGACAGAATCAATGGCCATGGCAAAATTAAAAAGAATATGCAGTTGCTTTGGCAAAAGGGAGAGCGTAGGGAATGTTGGGAATTGCTTAATTAGCAGCACTGTGATGCAGCCAAGTATCTCTCACCCTAGTGGACAGTTCTATCCAACAATGAAGTGATTCGGTCTTTCTCTGCCTCTGTCTTTTTCTGTATGGTGTTAGGACAGCAACGTTAGATTTATAGTAAATGATGTTCAAAATTAGAGTAGACAAAACATTATATTCACTTAAGTACTTAATAAATCTTATCAAATCACGATACTTATAAAATAAGAGTAAGTTTTTTTTATCTAGTTAAATGCAAACTATTCTTATTAGAATTTGAAAATTTACAAAGAATTATATAAACGTTAATGAGCTTTGAAAAATTAATAAAATATCTATATTAATTTGTCCCTTTTTTTAACCTTTCCGGGGTATGATTTGTCCAATCATTGTCGGAACAAAAGCAATTGGGGCAAAATTAGATAAATTCTTGTTTAATCAACCTTCCAGGTAAGAATTGTTTTGCGATAACGTAAGAAAGCCAACATATTCCCAAGATATGGAAGCAGAGAGTGTGAAGGAATCCTAAATTCTGGCTAAGAGAGGAGCAAAGTTATGTGCTCCCAAAAAATCTAGAAACGTCTCTTGTTATTTTTAAGACACAACAGGAGTAGTGCTTCTAGCGCTATGAACTCCTGTGGATAAGGCTAGCAATTACAAA